AGTCAAGGAATGCCACTGACCACCAGCAGTCACCAGAAGCTAGAGGAGGCAAGAAACCAGATTCTCCCTTAGAGCCCTCAGAAGGAAGCAACAGGGCTGACCCCCTGAATTTGAACTCCTAGCTTCCAGAATTGTGAGACTATAAATTTCTGTTCTTACAGGCCACCCAGTGTGCAGTACTTTGTTACGGGAGGCCTAGGAAACTCATAAGGGGCTGTCCTGTGTACTGTGAGATGAGCAGCAGCATCGCTGGTCTCTAGCCACTGGGTACCAGTAGCACCCCTCTGCCCCTAGTTGTGACAACCACAACTGTCTGACATTCCCAAAAGTCCTCTGAGGGACAAGAATGCCCCAGATGAGAACCGCTGCCTCAGGATCCAGCATTTGATTGTCCCACTCCCTGGGATGACTGTGTTGGAGGCAAGGTATCATGGGGGTTGAATGACCTGGCTCTTGAGCCAGACGGCCCAGGCACATATCCCGGCTCCACTAATAACTAGCTGTGTGACCCTGAATAATTATATTGTCTTGCTGTACCTCAGTTTCCTAACCTGCACAATGAGTGTAATAATAGTTCCTATGCCACACAGAGAAGCTGGACTATACAAAGAACACAGCACCAGGACTGGAGAAAGACTCATTAACAACCTGCAATATGCAGATGACACAACCTTGCTTGCTGAAAGCAAAGAGGACTTGAAGCACTTACTGATGAAGATCAAAGACCACAGCCTTCAGGATGGATTACACCTCAACATAAAGAAAACAAAAATCCTCACAACTGGGCTGATAAGCGACATCATGATAAACTGAGAAAAGATTGAAGTTGTTAAGGATTTCATTTTACTTGGATCCACAATCAAAGCCCATGGAAGCTGCAAATAAGAAATCAAATGACGTATTGCATTGGGCACATCTGTTGCAAAAGACCTCTTTAAGGTGTTAAAAACCAAAGATGTCACTTTGAGGACTAAGGAGCACCTGACCCAAGCCATGGTGTTTTCAATCACCTCATATGTGTGTAAAAGCTGGACAATGACTAAGGGAGACCAAAGAAGAATTGATGCCTTTGAATTATTGTGCTGGTGAAGAACACTGAATATACCACAGACTGCCAGGAGAACAAACAAATGTGCCCTGGAAGAAGTATAGCCAGAATGCTCATTAGAAGCTAGGATGGTGAGACTTTGCCTCATGTACTTTGGACATGTTACCAGGAGGGACCAGTCCCTGGAGAAGGACATCATACTTGGTAGAGGGTGAGCGGAAAAAGAGGAAGACCCTCAACGAGATGGATTGACACAGTGGCTGCAACAATGGGTTCAAACATAGCAGACTGTGAGGATGGCACAGGACTAGGCAGTGTTTCATTCTGTTGTACATGGGGTCGCTATGAGTCGGAACCGACTCGACAGCACCTACCACCACCAACACTACCACCACACACGGCTGTCACGAGTTCCAGGAGTTAATCTGAGCACAATTCTTAGATGTGCAGAGAAGGGGGCCAGGTGTGTAAATCAATGCTAGTCATCACTATTTCATTTACTTCTTCCCACCTAAACTGAACTCCCTGGGGTGGGGGATCTTATCTAATGTGTCTCTGGTTCCCACAGCCCCTCAGTGGCTCTTTTGAGGGTTTGAAGGTGTTTACTAAGCAACTTGCTTGTTGGTGGGAGACGGCATTTGTGAGAGACACCAAACGTGGATGGGTCCTTCTCCCTGCTCCTGGCCTGCCCTTGCCACGTTATCACAGCGGCGCCAGGTCATCCTTCCCAAGCCAGGCTCAGACCCTGTCTCTCCTGTCTCAAAGCCATGTTCCTTTCTGTTATGTCGATAACAGTCCCACTCATCCTTCAAGGCCCACCTTAAACATCTTTAAAAATTCTCCCTCCTCTAAACGCTCAGAGCACTTCACCTCTGTGCTGCCATTAGGGCCCAGTGAACCCTTTCAACTCTGTAAGTATCCTCCACATGACTAATGTCATTTTGACTTCCCTATATAGTTAAGCTCAGTGCCTAACAGAGACCTGATTAAACATGTTTGAATGAATACGCATGTTCAAAGCAGATTCTCTAGTCTTATCTTTAACATATATTAAGCAAGAGGTAGAATTTATTTAAATGTCAGATGGAACAAAAAGAAATTAAATGAGATCAAAGAGGACTATTTCTGGGTGTGATTATCTTATGGGGAATTAAGAATCTAATCCATTTCATTAAAATCAAAGAGGGGTAACTCATCCCTATGTCCTATACACTCCCCTTCATCTCCCACTCTGCCACCTCCCAGTCAAGGAGATAATTTTGTGATTTTCTGTTGCTTAGAATGACTATTATATGAATTCATATTCTCACTCTCTCATGTACACACGCATGCACATACACGTCTCACACATGCACATACAAACCACATACACACACACTCTTCACACATAAACACACGCACACACACCACTCACATTCCACACAGACACATACAACCAAGTTCTCAATAACAGTCTTGCAGGAAACCCTGAGGGACCAAGGAAAGCCACACAATCCCAGTCTGCCTCCAGCACCACAGCGCTTGGTCCAGAACTAGTGAGGTCTACAGACACTGCAGTGAGGAGGAATATTCTCATTCAGACTGGCCATGCAGCAAACAGCAACATCCTCAAAAGACTGTAAATGGATGCTTCATTTCTAAAACAAAATCTTAATCTTTCCTCTCAAATATTCACATTTAATTTTCGTTTCAGGACTTCCTTTTAGCATTATGTAATAGCCCCAGTTCCAGTTAATCAAGAAGTAATTTTATTTTGGTATAAAAGGTATATATATGACTACTATCGACAGTAAAACCTGTGGAAGCTGGAACCTGTATAAGGCGGAAACCTATTAGAGAAGGAAAATTCAAATATATTCCACTAATAGACAGTGATAGAAAAGTGGTAAGACTGCACCCTGTCAAAGGCAGAAAACTTGTGAGACCCAGAAAAAAAAAGATAGTCCCATTGAGTTCCAGCTCTCCCAGGTTTCACTATATTACCAAACCTTTTTTTCACCCCAAACAGAAGCTCTGTACCCATTAAGCAATTAAGTTTTGGAAACAGACAGTGGTGATGATTGTAGAACATGGTGAATGTAACTAAGGCCAATGAAATGTATACTTAAAAATGGTTTAAATGGGAGGTTTTATGTTACATGCATTTTACTACAGTAACTTTTTTCTTTTTTTTAAAGAGGAGTACGTACATGGACTATAACAGATTTTCCTTCTTCTTATGACAACCGGCCCGCATGGATAGCATTATGCAGGCTCTGAGGGAGGACAAATTCACTTGGACCACAGTCATGGTCTCTGTTAAGGAAAAGTCCTCTCTGATTGGAAGCATTTCTGTGATTTGTAATCAAACCAAAAAACAAAAAACCACAAACCTGTTGCCATTGAGTCAATTCCAACTCATAGCAACCCTATAGGACAGAGCAGAACTGCCCCACTGGGTTTCCAAGGAGCGGCTGGTGGATTCAAACTGCCGACCTTTTGGTTAGCAGCCGAGCTCTTAACTACTGCATCATCAGGGCTCCATGATTTGCAACAGGGATGGCAAATTGCCCAAGAACATCTGGCTGACTGTTTGTGATTGTATGGATTATTATGCTGACGAAAATTTTGTTGAGGCCATGTCTGGGCTTGGTGGGAAACAGTGCTGTGATTGACTAGTGATATCTGTTATGGGTGCTGTTATGGGTTAAATTGTGTCCCCCAAAATTTATGTTGAAGTCCTCAACACCAGTACCTGTAAACATGACCTTGTTTGGAAATAGGGTCTTTGAGGATGTTATCAGTTAGGTTAACATGAGGTCATACTAGAGTAACCCAAAAACCAAATCCACTGCCATCGAGTCGATTCCCATTCACAGCAACCCCACAGGGTTTCTGAGGCTGTGAATCTCTACGGAAGTAGACTGCCAGACCAGCAGAGTGGCTGGTGGTTTCAAACGGCCAACCTTTCAGTTAGCAGTCAATCGCTTTAACCACTGTGCCACCAGGGTTCCTTATTCTGGAATAAATCAAACCAAACCAAACCCAACCCATTGTGGTCGAGGTAAACCTGACTCATAGCGCCCCTACAGGACAGAGAAGAACGGCCTCATGGAGTTTCCAAGGAGCCGCTGGTGGATTCGAACTGCCGACCTTTTGGTTAGCAGCCATAGCTTGCAGTAGCTCTTAACCACTGCGCCACCAGGGCTCCATACTGGAGTAAGGTGGGTCCCAATTCCATCTGAATGGTTCCTTATAAAAGAGAAGACACACAAGAGACAGAGGGAAGATGTCCATGTGACGAGGAAGCTATGCTGCAGCTGCAAGCTGAGAACACCTGGGGCTACCAGAAGCTGAGAGAGACAAGACAGGACATCCCCTAGACAAAAACAGGGCCCTGCTGTCGCCCTGAATTCTGAAAGACAATAAACTTTGGTCATTTTAAACCCCTTTGTGGTACCTTGAGACGGCAGCCCGAGGAAACTAACACGGCTGTGGAGTTAGGTGTTATGTGAGCCACATATACCATCCCAGGTCTGAAAACAAGTTTGGGGAGGAATCTGTAAATAGTAACTTGAGGGTAAGCTAAAAACAAAAAAACAAAAACCAGCTGCCATCAAGCTGACTCCAACTCATGATGACCCCATGTGTGTCAGAGCAGAGCCATGCTCCATGGGTTTTCCATGGCTGTGTTTTTGGATGCAGATCACCAGACCTTCCTTCTAAGGTGTCTCTGGGTGGACTCAAACCACTAAACTTTTGGTTAGCAGCCAAACGCCTTACCTACAGCACCACCCGGGGACTCTGAGGGCAAGCTACCTGAGTGCAAAGTCCACGACTAGGTGTACTGCGTCCTCCTGGCTGCCTGATACACAGAACACATTCATTCCTATGAACGATCTGAATTGCAGTCACACTTTCCCCCTTGATTTCAGGTCTGCAACAGAAGCTAATTTCTCCTGCATCCAGGTACCTTAATAATGCTCTGGCAGGTGGACAGGGGCAGGCCCACCAGGCTGGTGCCGTTAATAGACATGATCTGGTCCCCAATATTCAGCTTCCCCGACTTCTCTGCGGGGCCTCCATGCATCATGTTAGCTATGATCACAGTCGGCAGGATGGACCCCCAACCGGACTCCACAATCACCACACCTAGGATTTCTCCTTTCTGCTTCTCTATGAAAACCTGAAAGGAAAAAAACAAGAAGCCTTAATTAGCAACCATTTGGGGTACTGGTAGAAAGCAAAGCATTTCCCTCCTCCCGTCTTTACTAAAAAGGAAAGCCACTTTCACCGATGACTCCATCTCCATGGGATCCCTCTTCTCTGTAGTCCATGACATCTGGTGTTTGTACAGAACGATTTAACACCAGCTGCTATGGACTGAACTGCGTCCTCCCAAAGCATGTGCTGGAATCCTAACCCCTATTCTCCTGGATGTAATTGTGTTTGGAAATTGGGTTTTTTGTTATTTAACGAGGCCATATCAATGTAGGGTGTGTCCTAAACCTAATCACTCCCGAGTTATAAAAAGAGCAGATTAGACACAGAAGAGCACAGATACTGGGAAGACAGCACGTGAGGACTGTCTACAAGCCAAGGAACGCCAAGGAACCAAGGAACACCAAGGAACCAAGGAATGCCAAGGAACACTCAGGGTTAGCAACCCGGAAGGAACCCACACAGCCAAGACCTTGATTTGGACTTTCAGCCTCCAGAACTGTGAGAAAATAAATTTTGGTTCTTTAAAACCACCCAGATGTGGTATTGGTGTTACAGATACAGACACAGGCCTATACCCTTCCTCGTCACTCTCTCGTTTCACATAAGCAATCCTGCTCAGGAATACACCAAGTTTTTACTCCATAGTCCTCAATGGTGGTAGCTTTGCTGGTGTGTTGTGGTTTCAAGAAATAGCTTTTGGATTCTATGCACAGCTCCCCCATCCCACATTTATAAATGTGGTTCATAAATTCTCTCCAATATTGAGCATTCTTGAGTTAAAAATAAATACCTATGACAGTAATGCTTCTCTGCAAGGAGAAAATTGAGGAAAAAGAGAACAAAAAAAAGACACTGATGTTATCACAATTCCAAAAGGGTGAGAGTGCAGACAGGAAGACCATGTGCACAATTGTGGTGGCCTTGCCTGGTCAGGCAGAGGAGATGGCTGGTTTTGGATACCTGCAGCTTCATGAGGTTTGTAGGGATGCTACAAGGGTGAGACACTTCTTGGAGTCATCCAACGAAGAGTATATGTGTGTGTGCATTTATTTATTCATATCTGTAGATACATATATGCTCATACACACACTGTAGTAGTTGCTGCTGGTGCCCCTTGCAGCATGATACCCCCTCCTCCCAGCAGCTGAAGCTCACAGCTGGCCCCTTCCCTGGAGAATTGCCCTTGGCCAAATGGAGGATCCTCCCAGCCTTGGCCAATGACTGGCCAATATCCCACTGGCTTGTCATGTAGATGTAACACTTGTTCCTAATTATCAGAGTCCAGGACTCAATTTTATTTTTATATATAAACATAAAGACTTTCTGAGTGCATGGCTCTAGTTTACATTAAACTTTCCAAGAATAAAATGAGTGGGTCACTAGCCTGCCAGCTACCTCACCCCAGGTGGGACAACTCTGTCCTGAAGTTTGTGCCCCGGAGCTCCCCCTGGATCAGACTGAAGCTCATCTCCACCGACACCATGTTCTTCCTGAGCATCCTCCACTGCCCTGCTTCCCCATTCGCTTTCTCCTGAGTGCACTCTCCCAGTAAACCATCTGAACCATGATCCTTGTCTCATGGGCTCTCCTTCTAGGAAACCTGAACCAAGACACCTAACATACACCCGTGGCTAAAATGATCACTTTCTCACTAAAGGTTCTCTTTTACCTACTGGAGAAAGTCCAAACTCCTTGGCTGGACTTGTAAGCCATCTGTTCTGTCCAGAACCTCCATGCTGGCATCTCCGTCTCCCTTCCTACACTCCCCTCTGCTTAGCCACGCTGCCCATACAGGGCTCCCCGAGACAAGTCTTTGGCTTTCTGACCTTCATGCTTCTGCACTGTTATGTCAGCCCAGCCCTCTCACACCCAATGCTTTCCAAATAATACCCAGCCCTCCAGACCAGCTCAAAGGGCCCTGTTTTCCTCCTGGTACTCCTGTACAGTTGAAACAATCAGGCTGTCCCTGAAGGGTGCTGTATTTATTGTCTGAACCCCCGATCTGTTCCAGGCTCTCAAGCACAGTTCTCTCTGACTGGTGCTTGTACCTGACACCAACATGTAACTTCTTCGGTACCCTTACCTAGTACTGGAAGGGCAGCGTTTAGGTCCTATATACCTTTGGAACCCACCCAGTTCTTAGCCCAGGATTCCAGGGAGCATACTCTGCTCCACTGTCTATGCCCCTTCATAGCAGCGAGAGAGGGGAGCCAGAGACAGGCAGGAGCCCCTCAGCAATGGCCCCCCAGCATTATACACTTGAACCTCAGCTGCTCTGCTTTTCCCTCCACAGCTCTCCCTGGGGCCCATCCAGCTGACCTAACTTGGAGAATAACTTCAGGAAAGTACCTACATCTTTGCAGTTTTCAGACTTGGAGAAGTGGATCAGGTCGTCGTTGTACATGTCCTGGGTATTGAGCAGGTCACTATATTCCTTCTGGCTGAGATCTTCGGGGTTAATCCCGTTGGCCCTGAGGAATTCTTGGTATGCCACACTAAATGCCTGCCCAATAGACTGTGCGATCAGTTGGGCCTAGAACAGCAGCCAGAGACGCAAAGATGGAGGTCAGTAGGGCAGCGCTGTTGTGGACATCCTCATGCCGTTTCCCAGGAGGACCAAGGGTCGCAGCAGGACTACGGAGCCCCAGACATTAGCCAGGACAGTGGTTCCACATGGGAGCACTGATGCCTTCCAGGGGCCATTTTTATATTAGGGGGACGTTTTTGGTTATGATAGGAGGGAGTTACTGGCACTGAGTGGACAGAAGTCAGATGCTGTACATCCCACAATGCAAAGGACAGTCCTACACAATGACGAGTGGTTCTGCATCCTGCACATCCTCCTCAATTTTCAAATACCCTACTGGCCAGTCATGTAGATATAACACCTGTCCCTAGTTATGTGAGTCTGGGACTCAACTCAAGGAGTCCCTGGGTGGTGCAAACAGTTAAGTGTACGGCTACTAACCAAAGGGTTGGCAGTTCGAACCCACCCAGAAGCACCTTAGAAGGCAGGCCTGGAAATCTGCTTCCGAAAGGTCACAGCCAAGACAACCCTATGGAGCACAGTTCTACTCTGCACACATGGAGTCACCATGAGTTGGAATCGGCTTGATGGCAACTAGTGGTGTTTTAGGACTCAACTCTAATTTATATATAACACAAAGACTTGCAGTGGATGGCTCTAGTATGCATTAAATGGTCCAAGAATATAACTACGATGTAAGCTGAGGGAAGATGATACTTTGTTTTGTCCAGAACTTTACCAGGAGTAAGCTTCATGACTTTGGAAAATTATCAACACCAATGCTGATCTGAGTTGCCATTAAATCTCATCGCTATCAGCCTGCACCTTCACAGTCACACACAGTGACTCAGTGCATGTTTTTATATACACATTCGCATTTAGCCCTCAATTCAAATAGAAAGTGTGGACAACACTCATCTGAATACCTTGTTCTCTTATATCCAAACATACCAAGTAGGTACAAGCATCTTACTATTTCATTCTGTCTTCTGGTGTGGCCGGCCCAAGCATTTACATAATGTCACGAATATGATTTTATTTTCACTTGTTTTCCTATTATATTTATGGCATTACTTGGATTATGTTGTGAAAAAAATTTCAAAAAGGGAGATTATATTATCTATTATCACTTAATTTCCTGAATTTCATTTCAGGAAAGTAAGGGAGCATTGCCAGTATCCACTGTAAAAAAGGTATTGACTCAGGGAGGCAACTTGGTCAATTGGCATAACATAGCTCATAAAGATAATGTCCTACCATCCTAGTTTGGTGAGTAGCATATGCGCTCTTAAGAGCTTGCGAGTAGCCATCTAAAATACAAACTATTGGTTTCTACATGTCTGGAGCAAAAAAGGAAAGCAAAGACCTGAAGAAACTAGTCTATAGGACTAGTAGTCTACACAAACCACAACCTCACCTACCTTGAGACCAGAAGAACTAGATGGTGCCCAGCTACCACTGCTACCTTTCTTACCAGGGACACAACAGATGGTCCCAGATAGAATGGGGAAAAAATGTAGAGCAAAACTCAAATTCCTAAAAAAGTCCAGACTTACTGGACCAGTAGAGATTAGAGGAACTCCCAAGACTATCGCCCTTGGATACCCTTTAAACTTGGAACTCAAACCACTCCCGGAGGTCACCTATCAGCCAAAAGATAGAGTGACTCATAAATAATGTCACCCGTGAGTACAGTGCTCCTCTAAACAATCATCTAAATGAAACCTAATGGTCAACATTTATCCTAGACCGAAGATGAGAAGGTGAGGGGGGGAAAAAGAAGCTAGAAAATGGAAACAGAACAACGAGAATGGAAATAATGAGAATGCTGACACATTGTGAAAAGTGTAACCAATGTCATTAAGTTATATGTATAGAAATTGTTAAATGAGAACCTAATTTGCTATGTAAATTTTCTCCAAAATCATAATAAAATATTAAAAAAAAAAAAAAAGAAAAAAGGGTGCTGAGTCCAACAGAGTTTAGAGTTCTCATTCTAGTCTAATCCTGAACTTTCCAGGTGAGGAGACTGAGGCCCAGAGATGCAAAGGAAACTGCTCAAGGTCACACAGCACACAAGACTGCACCTGCTTCCATTGTTCTTTCCCCCGCACTGGGCTTTGATAACTTTTCCCTACATTAATTCATCAACATTATTAATCAGGAGAGCCAACAGCAGCTAAGTCCTTCTCAGGTGCCTACACTGCATTAAATACTTTACAAGGACCATTACATTTAATCCTCACATCAATTTTATGACTGGTAGAGGTCACAAGCCATCATCCAAAATTCACGAAGCTGTGTTTTAGAATTCAGAGATTTCTGGATTTTAGAATAGTAACAGGGTGCCTATCCTGTACATTATGAAATAATCCCTTTGAGGGCCTGGATAAGTACTCCATAAACAAACACAGTAATATTTCTGCACAAAATGTGCCAGAATTATAGTAAACTGGAAAAATACTATAAATTTCCTCACTGCAGTTAAGGTCAAGCTTTTCTGCCAACTGACTACAAAAAATCCCTTTTGTTTCTCAGAGCTTTTAGACTTTGGAACTTTGGATCTGTATCAGTATCCCCACCGGACAGATCAGGAAACTGAGGTTGATAGGTTAGTTGCTCACTCCCCTGCCAAATGCCCTTGTGCCCAGATGGACCTGCTCAGGCCCCTGTGCGTCTGACGGCATTCTTCCCACCCTTCCCCTCATTCAAAGCTCTCCAGAGGCCTGGCCTTCTTGCCCTTCCTCAAGCCTAACTGGCATATCCCTGCCTGAGGGCCTTTGCGCTGCCTCTGTCCTCACTCTCACTTTATTCAGGTCTCCAGTCAAATGTCAGTTGCTGAGAGAGGACTTTGTTGACCACCCTATCTAAAACAGCCCCTGCCCCTCTATTCCCTGATCTTGGTTTATTTTTCCTTATCGCACTTAAAAAGACCAGGTGCCGTTGAGTTGACTCTGACTCATGGTGACTCCACGTGTGTCAAAGTAGAACTGTGCTCCAGAGGGTATTCAATGGCTGATTTTTTGGAGGTAGATCACCAGGCCTTTCTTCTGAGGCACCTCTGTGTGGACTCGAACCTCCAACCTTTCATTTAGTAGCTGAGCACATTAACTGTTTGAATAACCCAGGGACTCCTTATAGGACTTACTACCTAATTTTATGTTGAGTATTTCTTTATTTTCTATCTCCCTACAATCCTGATGATGGGTAACATCTCTTTTATTTAGCCTTTTATCCCTAGCACTAAAACAGTGCCTGACACATAAAACCAAAAACCAAACCCAATGCCACTGAGTCAGTCCGACTCATAGTGACCCTACAGGACAGAGTAGAACTGCCTCACAGGGTTTCCAAGGAGCGGCTGGTGGATTTGAACTGCTAATCTTTTGGTTAGCAGCTGAATGCTTAACCACTGTGTCACTGGGGCTCCTGTGACACATAGTACCAAAACCAAAAAACCAAACCTGTTGCCGTAGAGTCGATTCCGACTCATAGCGATCCTACAGGACAGAGTAGAACTGCCTCATAGGGTTTCCAAGGAGCAGCTGGTGGATTCGAACTGCTGACCTTTTGTTTAGCAGCCATAGCACGTAACTACTACATCACCAGGGTTTCCGACACATAGTAAGGGCTTATTAATATATACTTAAGTATGTTAATTAGGCTGATTCCAATTGTGGGACACAAAGAGAGAATCTGGCTACCCAATCACAGCCCAGGGCACCCGTAAAGAGAATGGGGCAAGCCATCCTTACATCCTCTGACTCAAAGACGTGGCAGATCATCTTATACTGCCTTTTCCCGTCCTGGGAAGGGTGAGAGGCTTCCACGTTCTCCTGGGAGTTGGAGCGGGGCATCCGCCTGCGGGCCATGAGCACAACAATGTTCCCAATGTCTGCGATGTAGGAGATGGTCCTCAGGGGGTGGTCCATCATTGTCTCCTGGAGGGCGGGAGGGAGAGGACATGTAAGTCCAGTGCAGTACTAGTGACCCAGGAGAGAGTCAGCCACCCTGCAGGCCAGGCAGGGACAGTCCATGAGTAGGGTGGGCCCCTGGGGCCCACGGATAGGCCTTGACGGCACGTTTATGCATACCCTACCCTGCCCGAGGGCCTTTTCCTCAGCTAATAACCAGAGCAGAACATTTGTGGCAGATGAAAATAAAGAAGAAATTGCAATCATTTACCACCAGTAGAACCTCTCCTGGAGAAGTTAAAAAAAGAGATAAAAAATCTACAAAGGGTAGTTGTCTTTTTTTTTCTCTTGTGTGTGCATGCATGTGTGTGTGATTTTAAATAAAAATTCTTAAAGGCTAACCTGGTTCATATTGAAGAATCCTCTGATTAAGAATTTATGAGAATTGTTAACACACAACATCCATGTTTTAGTTTTTCCTTTCATTTTTAAGAAAATAGTCCAAAGCCTCACCCAGCAGCAGGCCTTGCAATGCCACCACCTTCCAGCTTGTACAGAGCCCAGCATCTGGGCACAGCTGCTCCACAGACATGAGCACCATCTCTCAGACACCAAGCTGCTAAGCTTCATCCCCCCAGGAAAGGAGGCTGGCTTGTACCTGTGTGTCGGCATTCAATACTTTGATTCTCTGGGTAGAAATGAAGAGATCCACCTCTGTCACTGGCTGAGATTCGCCTTCAGGAGCCTGAGAGGAAAAATGCACCGAGAGGAAGCTTTTATAAATGACTGCAACCCAGATGCCAGGGAGAGGTTAACTCACACCCAGAGGCACCAAGACACAGTCACCAGAACAGCAATGCAGACTCCAGAATTACATCCCCAAAGCTGAAGGCCCCACACGGAGGATGGATACATGATGTGAGTTAGCATCTCCAGGTTACGGGGAAAAACGCAAAACATCCTTCGCTTTTTCCCCTGAAGAAGCAGTGACTCACTACAGTGGATTCACTCTAGAAACATTGATTGTGAATGGCCCTTTCTGCAAAGGTTTCAGAGCCCAGCAGATGGAAGGAAAAACTCAAAACTGAGGCTCCGGGAGAAGTCAGAGTTTGTTCCTGCTTGAGCTGATAGGGACAATGTCCATAGCAGGTGGAAACTAAGCCACTGGGGTGCCGTTCTGGTAAGAGGGTCTTCATGTTCTCACACCACCACAGCAGCCACAGAAGCAGCAACTCACTCCAGAAACCATCCCATTAAGAAAGAGCCCCAATGCCTCAACGTCCCATGAGTAGTTCATAAGCACCTAGAAGCTCCACAACCAAAAAACACATCTGTTGTTTAATTTAGGGCTTAACCCCGCACATGTGTGGTTATCAGCAAGTTTTCTGTTTTGCATCCAGCAATCTGACAAATCCACAAATCAAACATAACTATAAATGAACAGACCCAAGTCCCTGCCACATCAATCCTCCTGAAAGGGTGAAATGTTCACACTCTGATATGACTCATTTAGCATCTCCAATCTGCTCCCTGTTGTTACTCTGAAGTGAAATGACTAATGAGCAACAGAAAATGGCCACTTTAGGCAACTGATTTTGGAGAAACACTGGCTTATGGGGCGGTTCAAAAAGAAAATCTGAACAAAAACTTGCTGGATGCAGAAAACAAAAACATGAAATAATAAAAAGGCAAAATGTAAATAAATGAAAAGAACAGGCACAACACCAAGCTGATGAAGTTGTTTGTACTGCACCTTCTTCCTGCTTTTGGCTAATTTCTGGGCCATCTGCTTAGCATGGAACAAACAGAGACAGGAGAATAGTTAGAAAAGAATTTGCAGAGATGCAAAGTCAAAAAGGAACTTGACAAACTAATACCAATCAGTGGTATACAGCATTTCTGTGGGAGGAGAACTAGTTTTTAAAAATCCCACTCTAAAGGCAATCAATCTCCTAATTCAGAATTTAGTAGGTGGGAGGGCAGTGGGAAGAAGGAAGTAAAAATATTCAGGCACTGCTTCTTACACTTAACTACAACTGATGTTTTCATGGAAGCAACTTTCAGTTCTATTGATTTTCTTTATTGTATGGCCTGTTTTGTATTTCACTGATTTCTGCCTCTATCTTTATTATTTCCTTATTTTTTTCTTTGAGTTTAATCTGTTGATCTTTTTGTAGTTTCTTGGGATGAAAACTTAAATGATGGATTTTCAAAATTTTTCTTTTCTGATATTTTTATTTAAACCTATGAATCTCCCTCTAAGCACTGCTTTAGCTGCATCCCACAAATTTTGATAAGTTCCTTTTTAATTATTGTTCTGTTCAAAACATTTCCTAACTTCCACTCTGATCTATTCTTTGCATCTTGGATAACTTAGAATTGTTATTAATTTTAATACCAAAAAAGCTAAACCAAACCTGTTGCCGTCAAGTTGATTCTAACTCATAGGGACCCAACAGGATAGAGTAGAACTGCCCCATAGGGTTTCCAAGGAGCAGCTGGTAGATTTGAACTGCCAACCTTTTGGTCAGCAGCTGAGCTCTTAACCACTATGCCACCAGGGCTCCAATTTCAACACAGCTGGGGATTTTCTAGTTATCTTTTTGTTACTGATCTATAAATTAATTCCAATGAGGTCAGAGAACATACTCTATATGATTCAATCATTTGAAATTTGCTGTCTTAGCTGTACGGTCCAGCACATGATCAACTTTGGTGAATGCTCCACATGGACTTCAAAAGAATATGCATTTTCTAGTTGTTGGGGATTGTGCTCTACAGATGTCACTAAGTCAGTTAAATTGGTTAATAGTGTTGTTCAAATATTCTATGTCCTAGCTGCTATTTTTTGTCTGCTTGTTATATCATTTATTAAGAGGAGTGTGTTAACATCTCCAGCTGCAGCTGTGGATTTGTCATGTCTCCTTTTGCTTCTGTCAACCAAATTTTGCTTTATATATTTTGTAGCTATGTTATTAGGTACATACACCTTTAAGACGGATATGTCTTCCTGTTGAATGGACTCTTTTACTTTTATGAAGTATCCTTCCTTATCTCTAGTAATACTTCTTGCCTTAAACTTGTGTAATATTAATATAACCTGTACCTAACTAGAAATGAATGTAATATTTGTAAGTAAAAGAGAGCATAGTTGATAAAAGCAGAGACTCTGGAGTCAGACTAAAACCAAATCCTGGCTCTGCCAACTACTAGTTGTGTGACTTTGAGCACGCCACTTAATGTCTCTGTGCCTCAGTTTCCTCATCTGTAAAGTGGGGACAAAAACAGCATTTACCTCTTGAGGCTGTTTTGAGGATAAATAAACACATACAAAGTGCTTAGAATAGTGCCAGGTGCATCATAAGCACTATGCTTGCGTTTGCTGCTCTATTATTATTATTCACCTATGCCAGGATGCAACTTCTTGGCTTTGGTAAGGCTTGCTATAGATACAGATCCTGTGTGAATAATGGTGAGTGAATGGTCAAACCATGGACAGTGCTGTGGTAATGGGTGCGGGGTGGAGGAAGAACTGTTCTCTCACATTCCTTGGTACTCAACTGGCAGAAAAGTTCCTTTCGTCTCTGCAGTACATCTCTACTTCCTTAACACCTAAAGTGTGTTGCCTGTACTACCTCACTTAGAGAAACCAGGTGAGTCAGCTGTACAAACACCAAACAGCTAATCTGTGGTACACCTAGGCAGCTAGGGCAACCTCACTCCCACATGCCCACCTACAGCTCATACTGGTGGTCATGAGTGCAAACGTTATTTCAACGGCTGTGCATTACAGTGGAAATATTTTAGTATCTAAGGGGTGGCCTTATGTTGATGCTACACCACACCCTCACACAGGAATCTGAGAGTCCTGCTGGGGACGACCTGACCTGAGTCAGTTATAATCCTCACAATAAATGACGACTCAGTTCTTACTGCTTGTTCGCTTCCTACCACCTCCCTGAAATGATATGGCTGTAATACAGGAATTTCCATGATCTCTGATTCCAAAACCTAACAGTGGTTGGTCAAAATTCAACCCTCTAGGGAACTAGGGTCTGAAAGGACCCTTTCAAAGTACAATATGTCAGCCACCAACAGATCGCACAGATTCTGTTTTTCACTGAATCTGGTGATGAGGAAGAAGATCCAAAAGGCAAGCTGAGTGTCATGAAAGGTATTTTGAAATAATTTTTAGGACATTAAAAAAAAATCTTATGCACTTAGAGTAATCCCATCACTTCTCTAACAGTAACACCATCACTTTTAATCACTTATGGCTTCTAAGTACCCTAGAACAAATCACAATTAAAAATTTAGATATAGCACTGGCAATGATGGGGGCAGGGGGTCCTGGAGCCAGAATGAGAACCTGGAGCAGCTGAAAGAGGTCCACAAGAAACATAAGGCCAGCATGCATCATAAAGCCAGGAATGACAACATCCATTTAAATTCTCATGGTTCATGGGATTGATTATGGCTTATCACCCAGCGGGGTGTGGTGCTAAGGGCAGACACTGTGTACCATCCATCCTGCCACTCAATTCACAAATGCATATTGAGCGTTTACCGTTGTCAAGACACTTTAGATTAGTCATGTTGGGAATCCTCTCAACTGTTCTATCTGTACTTTGCCTAGCTGACATTTCCTGACATTACACTTACTATGTACCAGTATCCTCCGAAGCGTTTCACAAGTACCAATTTAAAAGCCTTCGAAGAACCTCATATTTCAGAAGAGGAAACTGAGGCACAGAAAGGTTAAGTAATTTGTCCAATGTCACACAGCTGGTAAGTGACAGAAGAAAGGTTCAAACCCAGGCAGTCTGACTGTACACTCCAAACCAGTAGCTGTATGACATGGGACAAGTTTCTCACCTGTAAACTTCTCAGTTTACTTGTCTATAAAGTGGGGTTAATAAAACCAACCTCACAGGATCTGCCTCCCACCCCATTTTGAGAAGTAAATGAGATAATGAACACTAAGGCCTCATATAAATGTCTATATCCTTTCTACTGACTGTAGACTTCTTCAAGTCATAGACCAAAAAACACCTAGGCATCATTTGTAATCTAACAGCATAAGTTTCACACATGTAGAAAGAATGAAGACATATACACCACACTCAGAGTGGACATGAAGCTGTCTCTATGGCTCAGGCAGGGACCAGCAGGCCACCCTATCTTCTGATTGAAGAGCAGAGAATGAAGTGGTAAGGAAGGTGAAACATAAGGATGGAGATGTAGTGGACAGAAAGTAAGACAAGTGAACAGGCTGTACTGGCCTAAAGTTTGGTGTCCTCTCAGTTCTACTCTGTAACATAGAGGCTGCCATGAGTTGGAATCAATTCTAGAGCAATGGGTTTGGTTTTGGTTTTAGACAGGGGTCAGGCATAATTCCCACCCTTTTCAGGGAAGGAGGCCATCCCCGCCTAGGTTAAGATTAAGTATTGACAGTATGCAGGAAAAAGCTCTCTCTCTATGTTTCTCCCAAAATGTGTTCTGGGGAATACTAAGCAACAGGATGTTAACAGGTATCACACAATAACGTATTCTGCATTCAGATAATTACGGGGGCTGTTGGTTGAACAAAAGTAATTCAGTCTCCTTAGTGCAGGACTTCTGAGTTTTTAATAGGAAATCATATGTGGCAAATGTCCTAAATGGAAATCTATTTTGGAGTGTTTCCTTAGCTTACTTGCCAGTGGAATCCTTTTGGTGACAAGCTCTCTGGTTGGCTGGAAAGCTGCACAGCACAGCTGACAGCCCACTCTCCCATAGGGCAATGGTTCTCAAGCTATAGCGTACATCGGCATCCCCTGGAAGGCTTGTTAACATACAGATTCCTGGGCTCCATCCCCTGAGTTTCTGATTTGGTGAGTCTGGGATGAAGCCTGAGAATCTGCATTTCTCGTAAGTTCTCAGATGATGCAGATGCTACAGGTCTGGGGACCACACTTCAAGAATCATTGCTCTAATGCATTTTTAAGCCATATGGGGGCCTCCTGGAAGGATATTTTTTCTTCTAAAAAACGCTAAACAACGAAGGCAGAAAGGACTCATTAGAGAGTATCCAAATATGGAAAAAAAAACTTTGAAAAATGTCAAGTGTCTTCCAGTTCTGCTTACTTCTTGTATTTCTTATAAAAGGAAAAGTCTTTTAATTTCTGACTCCTTAATTTGCCTTGTAATATTGTTATCTAAGCACTCTTCTCGGCTCCTTTATTAGACACAACCTTCTCAAGGTCAAGGACTCTGTCTTTGTTAACTTTTATCTCCTAAAATGCCTATCACAGGGGTTTGCATACAGACGGTTTGGTTTTTGGGCCAAATTCCTTTGCCTTCTTTTTACATTAAGCAGAAAATGCCTAAAAACGACAACTCCAAGTTTTCTATTCGGCTACTGAATTTGTAAATTCATGGCTAAATTAAGAAAATACTAACTCTTAAAACAACAAGTACTCATTCAATAAGCAGTGTTCAATTCTGTTATACAGCTGGTGCTAGATGAGAGTGACATATAACACAATCAACAGATAGAAGAGAAATTAAAGTCTGCTTGGAAATGGAAATCTACGTTCAGTGTCTGTTCAAAGAGACAAAGCACCACAAATATCTCACTCACAACCCTGGGGTCAAACAAACAATGTGGGCAGAGGGAAGAGAAAGGGGTAGGATAGGTATCTCTGAGGGAAATGAGGGAAGAATAAGGAATCAGAAAACAAAAGGAGGAAAACTATTCTACCTTTGTTTAGATTACAGCACTAAGTTGAAATTAGGCAGCTTGTGGTTCAGGATATTGCTAAACAGATTTCAAAGTACATTCATAGAACTTTTCTTTCCCTTTTCCTTCCTTGATGGACAGTACAAAATCTGCAGCCTCACTCTGCTCTGCATCCTCTCTGCTGAGGGAGCCTAGAATAAGTCATTGCTAAAACATCAGTCTCTCTTTAGGAACACGTATGACACCACCTCCCTTAGAGATCAGTGTCTTCTCGGCATGGTGGGCCCCACAGTGCAAGTGCCACTTGAGTCTATCCCAGTTCCATCTGGCTAACTGCTCTGCACCCTCAGGTTCCCCCTGCATATGATGGATCCCCTGCCTGCTCCCTGACATACTGCCCTTTGAAGAAACCAAACCCACTGCCATCCAGTCGATTCCAACTCATAGTGACCCTATAGGACAGAGTAGAACTGCCCCACAGGGTTTCCAAGGCTGTAAATCTTTACGGGAGCAGACAGCCACATCTCTCTCCAATGGAGCAGCTGGTGGGTTCAAGTTGCTGGCCTTCTGGATGGCAGCCAAGCGCTTTAACCACTGCGCCACCAGGGCTCCCAGAGCCCGTCTACGGTCTGTTGAGATTCACAATGGGTTCTAAACACAGCTGTCTCCACTTACAATCTGAAAAGGCTTCAGGCTGGGTGTAAAGCCAAACAATCTGAAGAGCACTTAAAGGGATGTAAAAGGAACACGAGGCAGGAAATATTTCGTGACAGGCAACAGTTCTTTCAAATGCAAAGGACACATTATAACATGATACATATAAGTTATAAATGAAATGCAACAATTTAATTTTGCCACTCTATAATGACTCCCTCACACTAGAGCAATCTGCTGTAAAAAACAAATGTCTGTTTTCCAGATGCCTACTCTGCTCTAAGCAGGTCTAAACTGTGTTTATAACCAGACGGCCTCCATCTTGCTTGTTCTGACTGACAAAGCCATGTATTTTGCTGTTCAAATGGACCATGGAACTTCTGAATATCAGTTCTTTGAAGCTTCAAGAGTAAATTTTCTGATCTCTTAATACGAGCTGGACTTTCAAGAAAAAACAACTCTATCAACACTATCAGATGCCACCGTGGAAATAAGAAGGTACAATACACAATACAATTGGTACTGGATGGAGATCTGCTACAGTTACTGCAGTAGTCTACCCTGAAAATCGATTTACGTTCAAGTGATTTGTCTTGTCCCTGTAGGGACATTTGAGTGCTACATATATATCATAGGGGAAGTGAAAAGACGTAGATCCTTTATCTTGTAGGAGTCAAGGGCTACCAATCAGCCTTTAAGGCTAATAAACAAGGTGCCCAGAATGAAAACTTGAGCCTTGAGGCTTTTGAAATCTTGATGGGAGAGGAGGACCTAGGAGATACTCATCTGAAAGTAACAGTTTTCTCTCTCAGAAGTCTTCAGTACTACTTGGGGGCACACTGTTTCTCTGTTCTGAAAGATTCACTTGAATGGGCCGTAGCAGCGCTTGTGATGGGGGTGCTTTGGCATTTTGGTGGCGATAAATCTCTGTTGTGTGGATCTGTCCTGGACATCACAGGGTATTCAGTATAACTGGCTCTGGCCCACTAATGGCATTTGATGCCCTCAGTCACTGTGCAACCAAAAAAGCCCTGCTCATTTCCACACCTTGCAGAGGGGGTGCTCATCCATTACAGAACCACTGAGTGAGGCGGGTACTTGTATTTCCACTGATCTTGGGGACCCGGGAAGGGTACCACTAACCCAGGAAACTAAGGGCTTTATTTGGTAATCGTGGGGCATGAGAATTCACAACTGTGTTCCTACAGGCTTTCTTGTTGGGAGTTCTGTGCTCTGTGTGAACTAATATGGGACAGTGCCTGAAAAGTAGCTTGTCCTCTCAGACAGGTTTGTACATTCTCATTTTGAATGCTGTGTGTAGGAGATACTAACTTGAAATGGAGAAGACTGTGGGGAGATCTGTAGGCATTAACATCCCCTCTTTACAGTAAGGGGAGACAGGGAGAACGAATGAGATCAAGCTTGGATGGCGCAGTTCAGCAGGAACCTGTTGATGTTCTACATGTAGCATTATTTACCCTGAAAAACTCAGAAGGTATGGAGGTCAGATAGATATGCTTCTATGGAGTTCTCCAGTTAGGGGCCACAGGGCAAGACACATCTCTGTGGGTAACGGGTGCGAGTTCCCTCGAAATAAGAGGACCTTCCCACTGCAGTCATCCTGGGAAAAGCTAATTTTATGAACACCACAGAAGACATGAACACCTCATAGCAGCTGGGCCTCTAGGCACAGACAAGGTTTTACGAGTCCCGGATGGAGTGGCTGAGTGGGTTCCTGCCTCACATAGAAGAAACTGGCAAGTCCCCTTCAGTGGCCCATCAGTGCTGACAGCAGCCACTCTAGGCACAGTTATAAATTACTCTCTGGTTGATAAATCCTACTTCCTAAAACTTCAGTAGTGGAATAAAAAGTTGCAGCCTGGGCTTACTACACTTTGGGTAGTTAGGGAAGGGCCAGTTCTGAGCTTGGAGAATGGTGGTAGGCAGCAGACAACTCATGAAGGTCCCAGCAGCAGAAGCAATGGTAGCAGCTTGATGAGAAAGCAATGAGAAGGAACATGGGGACATTCACACAGGAGCTCGGAAATTGCAGAATAACTGGACGGGTGGGGGGAGGAGTCAAGGTCATTGATGGAAATACGGCCTTGTTAAATATTCACGACGTGTCAGAGCCAGAACTACCACCTCTCTCTGCAGCACCTCTCTGAATCATTGATCCGCAGCCCTCCCCCGAGGCTGCCTGTGCTCCTGCGCCACCTAACATCTCACATCCTCCTCTCCTCCTCTGGGGCCCCCTGTCTATTCACTGGCTTGACTTCTCCACCCGGACAGCTGAGCTTGAGGAAAAGGCTCTCACTTTCTATATCTCGAGTTCCCTGCCCTCACGGGACCTTGCACAGCCTTGCACGCATAAATGCTCACGAAATATTTTTTCTCTGATTGAGGGACTAAGAACTCTCACTTACTGCCTTCTACTTGCAGTTCCTTCTCATTCCTCATTACCACAGAAATATCAGGATGGAAATCAAGGACATGTGAGAGAGAAGACATAAAAATGGGAATGATTCCTTGAGAGGAAAATCAATTGTGACCAGTTGAAACTGGATAAAACCAATTCTGGCGAGTCCTAACTTATTCCAACTCGCTCTAAATATCAGGTTCTGGGTCTCAATAGTGATGTTATCCCTGCGGTTCTAGGTAAAAATGGCCTGATGGCTCTACTGTGGCTGTCCAGCGGTTCTAGGTGCTGGTGACACTTAATGGCATTTGGATGGCAAGGTGTACCTGTAGTCTTGGGTTTGTCCATGGTTCTAGGTGGTGTTGGCATTTGTGGTGGAGATTCTAGAGCTCTGCATTTCTATGGATCAAGCCAGTTCTGGCTGGTTCAAACTAGTTGTGAATGATTTAAACTAGATGAAAAAGTGCTTTTCCTGGATCAAACAGGCTTGCTCCTTTTAAATCTGGATAAAACGGATTCAAACAGGTTATGACAGGCTTGAACTAGTTTAAACTGGGTTAGCCTTGCACTGACTTGTTCAGACTAGCCAGGTTAGATTTGATCAAATGGTTCATTCTGCTTGAACCAAGCCAGTTCAATCTGCTTGAATAGGAACAGCTGGTTTAAAAGCAATGAGACCTAGTTTGAACCAACTCTGTAAACATGAACGTTTAAGTCACTGATCTCTAGCTGTGAGTAACATACCTCTCAAATCTGAGGCATAATACCTAAAACGATATCCTTCCTCAGGTGATCAAGTTTTCAAAGTTTATGATCATATGTTTACGGGTATAGGCACTGTTTCTCAAGAACAACCTAAATACATAATATTTATACAGTAAAACTTGTGAAGTCAGAACCTGTGTAAGGAGGAAAACTGTCAAAGAGAAGGAAAATTCAAATATTTTCCCCTAATAGAGAGTGATAGAAAAATGCCCCCTGTCAAAGGTAGAAAACTTGCGAGACTGGAAAAACAAGGCAGTCCCATTGAGTTCCGGCTCTCACAGGTCTCACTGTATATAGGGTCTCCAGCACATGCTGGCTCTTTCTTCTATTTGGCTAGCAGGTGTATCTCAGTCCACGCTCCTCTGAACTCAGGAGAGGACACACGAGGTGTGGGGTGACCACTGTGGCCCAGTGCCTGCAACAGCCTGCTATTCCTCAACCCCCCCCCACCCCAAGTACACGGCACCCCCTCACCTTGATCCTGCTTACTGCTTCCTGGGCCTGCATCATGCGCACATTTTTGGAGGGAGTTTTGTCTGAGAGCAGCTGGGTGGAGCCAAGGTAATTGGCAGCAAAAATGATCCCATCAATCAAGTCTTCAGGGTCACAAGGTCCAGGAACTGTAACACAGAGAGCCACAGCAGTGAGTGAAGTCACCCTAGGGCAGGGTCAGGAAATTCCCATCCCACAGTGCGTGCTCCTCCCCTGCCCCTCACCACCTGCAAGATTGGCCAGGTACCCTGAGCAGGTGAGCCGACCTGCTTGTCTAAGCCACCTCTCTGTATCTGCCTTCACTCAACTCATCCCTAGTCTTCAAAAAGAAGGAATGGTTTCTTCTTAGAGCAACTTATTTCACCCATTATTGTTGAGAAATGATGGGAATATTAACTTGAATATGAAACATAAAATTCAGTGATAAAGGATGTCATTTCTTCTGTTACACTGTCAGTTCTCTGGGGCCAAGGATCATGTCCTATTCAGCTTTGACTCTTCTGTGTCTAGCTGGTGTCTGCCACCCAGTGGGTATTAAATAAATGTCTGCTTGATAAAAGGCTGGGTGAATAGAAGGCCGAACAGAAAACTTCATTTTACAGCAGTCCCTATTACTTGCCACCTTTTCACCCAGTACCAGTTACCATCAAGTTGACTCTAACTCATGGCATCCCATCCCATATGTGGTAGAGTAGAACTGTGCTCCATAGGGTTTTCAATGGCTATGATCTCCTTAGAAGCAAGGATGGCGAGACTATGTCTCACATACTTTGGACATGTTATCAGGAGGGATCAGTCCCTGGAGAAGGACATCATGCTTGGTAAAGCAGAGGGTCAGTGAATAAGAGGAAGACCCTCAGTGAGATGGACTGACACGGTGGCTGCACAATGGGCTCACGCATAACAACAATTGTGAGGATGGCGCAGGACCAGGCAGCGTTTCATTCTGCTGTACATAAAACAGGGTCACTATGAGTCAGGACCGACTTGATGGCACCTAGCAACAACATGATCTTTTGGAAGTAGATTGCCAGTCCCTTCTTCTGAGGTGCCTCTGGGTGGACTCAAACTGCCAACCTTTTGGATAGTAGCCAAGCATCTTAACAGTTTGCACCAGCCAGGGACTCCCAATTTGCTCCATAACTGGGGAGACAAGTTTTATAAATCAGAAAAATAGGATACCTATTTCAGAACGTCTGGATTCCTACAGAAAATCAAAACCTGTTGCCGTCAAGTCGATTCTGACTCATAGCGACCCTACAGGACAGACTAGAACTGCCCCGTAGGGTTTCCAAAGAGTGGCTGGAGGATTCGAACTGTCGAGCTTTTGGTTAGCAGCCGTAGCTCTTAACCACCATGCCACCAGGGCTCCTGGATTCCTATACTGGTCTCTAATTCTGATGCTGCAGAACAGATATTACCCAAAAGCCATGGTCCCATGTTATCAATCTTGCTAAACTACAGACCATCACGTTCCCAGCCTGATCCCACACTCAGATCAATCCTAAGAAAATAGAAATATTCTGTTCTCACTGACCTGTCTTTTTAATCAGAGCTTAGTTTTAAATATTTAAAATAGGGGCATCTGATTCTAACCGTAATTACCTATAAACCCTACTCTAAATTAAAACATATCTGGGACTAATATATAACTTTACAACGGATGCACTAGGAAAGGCATGTGAATTCTGTAATTAAAACGTATCTATTTTCTTGGACTTGAATGCCATATTTGGGGAGACTATTATATACATTTTTATCCCGCTGTTCAAACGTTATGGTCTTAAATTAGATAACTTGAGATGGAAACGATTTGTTTTTTTTCTTGGAAGTTAATCTAAAGTGGTCTTTATTTTTATCCTTAAAAATCCAGCTCATCTTGGGCTTAAACAGCTGCTTCCCCTGATAAGCTACTTATCAGGGCGCAGACTTAAAATAATCTATTCATTTTTCTAAAAGGAAAGTGGTGGCTGAAACACAGAAATTAACAATGTTTTAGAAAAGCCTTCACAAAGCATCTGTTTAACAATTAAATAAGGAAATCTACTATTTGTCTTATCCTTGGTCTTTATGAGAAAAACTTCTGGACCAAACACCCTGAGTGGTATCCAGCCAGACCTGCTCCCATGACATACCAGTACCATAATTTACATTCTCATCAGCCACATGTTCCTGCCATGAAGCTTTTATAGATTTAGGTTATTTAAAATACACGGTTTTAATTGTATAGCAGGGAAGCACTTAACCCATTGCCATCAAGTTGATTTCAACTCATACTGACCCTATAGGGCAGAGCAGAACTGCCTCATAGGGTTTCCAAAGAGCGGCTGGTGGATTCGAACTGCTGACCTTTTGGTTAGCAGCTGAGCTCCAGGGAAGCACTAGTCTAACTAAAATAATATCTGGACAGACTATGCTTTGTAAGAAGTGAAAGACTGCCAGTCTTCTATTGTAAATTATTAGGGATGCATTTACAATGCCAACGAAACTAAACAAAAACTAATCATTTTTGCCGACCAGGTATTGAGAAAAATGATCTCATCTGGGACAGTAATTTTCAAAACCCTTCCACCTATTTTTTTTTTTTTTTTTTAATAATGAATGTAAAAAGAAAAACAAAGACTAACCACTCTACCCACAAGAATCCCCAATATTCTAATCTCTGATTAAGCTGAAAGAGAGCCCTGGTGGTGCAGTGGTCAAGA